AAAGAACAAGTCCAAGTCCTCAAGGCGACGAACCAGGTCTTGCTGATCAAAGTGGTATGTACTGGAGTCCCTTTTCTGCTGCTCAACTTCCATGCCCCGCACAGCGGGAGGACGCTGGAGGAGATTGAGAACTTCTGGCATGAGCTTGTTTCTTTGCTAAAGCCGTTGGTCAGTGTGTATCCGCACCTGATCCTGGGGGCTGATGCAAATGCACACTGGAGCACGAGCTGCGAGGGATATATAGGCGAAGCAGGACTCGAGTTGAGGTCGAACCATGGAGGCGAGTGCTTCAAGAATTTCCTGGTTGATTTTGGCCTTTTTGTTCCTTCGACCTACGGGCAATACCACACTGGCATGCACCATACCTGGTTCAGCACGGTGAATGGGCAAGGCTGTCGATGTGATTACTTTGCCCTCCCACAATCATGGAGAGAGGGCAAGATCTCTACAATGGTCATTGACTCCCTTGATGAAGGAAAGCATGGTGTGGATCACATGCCTTTGATGCTCAATGTTGGCATTTTTCTTCAAGGAGAGTCGATGCCTAAGAAATCGAAGCTTTTCAATCGGAGCGCGCTGCAAAAAGCGACGGTTGAGGACATTGAAGATGCGCTGAAGTCAGTGCAACCTCCTGATTGGCACACAGAAATTGACCAACATGCTATGGGTCTGGTTCAACAGATTAGTGATGCGCTGCTGAAAGCCTTTCCACCCACAAAGGACAAGCCGCGCAGGTCCTATGTCTCCGATGAGGCATGGAAGATGCGGAAGATGAGAATTTCGAAACGACGTGAAACGGTGCAGAAGCGATTGGAGCTGAACATGTATACTCTGAGAGACGCTTTCTGGAGATGGCTAGGGAGCAAGTCCACTGAGCCCACTGACTTCTTCATTGCTGGATTGCGGCATATGAGAGAGTTAGTGATTTTGCGAAGAGAGACGGCTGCTTTGACCAAGAAGATGACTTACCGGCTTCGCCAGGACAGAACGGCATCACTGGAGAAGCTTGCACAAGAAGAGCCATATATGACGCCAAAGGCATTTGCGGATGCTATGAAGAGCATTGGGGTGAGGAATCCAAAGAAGCCCAGTGGAGTGCAACCACTGCCGTTGATTGTCAGAGAGAATGGTTCTCCGGCGGCGACTTTCCAGGAGCTCTTAGATTGCTGGCGCAATTATTTTGGGGAGCAAGAGGATGGACATGAAGTTACCGCTGAAGAACTGCTTCAACAATCAGATCGAAGATGGACCATGTGTACTAGTCAAGCTACATGGGACTTGATGCCCACGAGGTATCAAATTGAACGGCAGTTCAGGCGCGCCAAATCTGACAAGGCTTTCTTTATGGACCTGATTCCTGGAGAGCTGCTACATCGGGCACCAGCTACGATGGCTGCACTTTGCTATTCGCTATTCTGCAAACAGGTGGCTTTTGTCAGAGAACCGAATCTTTTCAAGGGCGGGTACTTGGTGCCGGCTTTCAAAAAGGGGAGCCCGCAAAAGATCGAAAATTACCGGTCCCTATTCATTAGCAGCACGCTTGGAAAGGCCTTGCACTCCATATACAGGGGAGACTTGGTCCGATACTTTGTCCCCAGAAGTTTCAACCTGCAAGTAGGTGGTGTGCCGCTGCAGGGACTGACACAGCCAGTTCATGCACTCCGGACTTTCCAAGATCATGCTATTGCACAGGGCCGTTCGTACGCCATCCTTTTCATTGACATCTCCAATGCCTTCTACAGGCTGCTCAGGCAGCACCTGGTCAGGCTCAGTGGAGATACCAGAGAGGTGGTTGCGCTGTTCCACAGCCTTCGGTTACCGGCAGGAAGCTATGCTGAATTCTGTCAGATGATGGAAGAGCCACCGGCCTTGGAGACAGATGATGCGCCGCCGCATCTTGCTGAATTGAGCAGAGAGTTCTTGGAATCGACTTGGTTTCAAATGCGAGGAGATAGCAAACTGGTGCAAACAAAGAGAGGAAGCCGGCCGGGGGACTCCTACGCAGATTTGCTTTTTAGCTTTGCACTGGAAAAGATCCTGAAGGCTGCAGTGGAACAAGTAGCAACATGTTTTCCTGACATCCTGGTTGATTGGGATGGGCACCGCACACCATTCCGAAGTAGTGAGCCAAGCCACCAGCTCGAACCAGTGATGCCGATCTGGGCAGATGATGTTGCCATGGCCTTTGATGATCGAGATCCTGATGCATTGATATCCAAGTGCGAGACTATAGCTATGATTGTTTTCGATCGACTTCGAGCCTCTGGCCTGCAACCGAACCTCAGTCCAGGCAAGAGCGAAATCTTGGTCGATGTCCGAGGACCTGGCTCCTTACGAGTACGACGACAGATACATCTGCATGACTGCAAATTGACTATCCCGTCGCAGGTTGAAGAAAGACAACTTACTGTTGTTGGGGCCTATCGACACCTGGGGACGTGGATTCAAACTGGAGGAGGGATTGCAAAGGAGATCAAGATGCGATTTGCAATGGCCCATGATATGGTTACACGCTATCGAGCACAAATCTTTGCGAATAGAGGGATGACCATCGTTCGCAAGAGGCAGTTCTTTGAAAGCCTCATTATGAGCGGAATTCTGTACAATGCAGCAGTGTGGCGCCCAAGAAATAGCAGACAACATGGACAACTGGAATCTGCACTGCACAATTTGTACAAGCGCTTTGCTATCCTCCACTTTGGCAAGCGAGCTCTTACGTGGAGTCGTGCATGGCTCCTGGCACAGGTTGGGATGCCTGATTTGAGGACGCTGCTGGTTGTAGCTCGGTTGCGATATCTAGGTCAACTGCTGTGTACTGGCAAGGACATCATATGGGCACTCCTACAGCGAGATGAGCCATGGCGATCCCAACTCCTCGAAGACTTGAGGACTCTTGGAGAATACTGCCCGGAACAGAGCTACCTTGCACAGATGCCGGAAGCATGGGACGATCTGATGCATTATGTCACACATCACCCCATTGCGTGGAAGCGATGTGTGAGGAAATTTCTTGCACGTCGAGTGGCTTCGCACAAGCTCGATGCAGACTGGTGGAGCTGGCACAAGCAAATTCGAGATGAATGCTTGAAATGTGGCCTTGTCTCGAGTGAGGAGTGTGAGTATGCTGCAAACACCCACTATTGTCTGTGCTGTGCAATGACCTTTGCCAAACGCTCGCATTTAGCTGTCCATGCCTTCAAAAAGCATAATAGAGCAAATCGGGCCCGAGCATTTGTGACAGGGACCCAATGTGAGCATTGTTTGAAGGTTTTTGATGTCCATTCATTTTTGCTGAATCATGTAAAAAGAGCGGAAGCATGTTATTCATTTTATGCCACCAGGGGGACTAGAGTCCCCCGAGAGCCAGGAGTGAATAGCCGTAAAGAAAATGCACACTTTTCGAGCTTTCGAAATCCCTTTTTCCAGGCAGAAGGACCACGATGCCCACCACATGAACTCATGATGTACGTGCCTGACGAAGAGGTCATGAGATTGGATAAAGAGTGGACAGCGGCTTACAGTCTGGCACATCCTAAGGATCTGCTGGATCAGTTGAGACGATCTACTCTCCAAACGTACTTGTATCATGAAGAAATCCTTGAAGCTTTTTCGAACTGGACCGAACGTCAAAGTCAGCAAGATTCCTTTGTGCTTGCGACGTTTCAGATATTTGAGCAATTTCGCCGGCATGCCTCGAGTGAATGGTTTTTGACTGGTACAGTCAGTCGAAGTGAGGATGTGCCAAAGGTTCAGGCCTTTTTCGAAAAAGAAGCTGATGCCTTGACAGCGATTGTGAGACCCTTGCCACGACCTTTGCGATATAGGCCTAAAGTCTTTGCGCATCTGTTTTCAGGGGTGCGAAGAGAGGGGGACTTCCAATCCTATGTAGAGGCTCTTCATTCTATGGCAATATCGATTGATGTGATTTTTGACCTCCAATGGGGTAACCTGCTTCAGGACTCCACCTTTCAGCTGTTTTCACGTGCACTGGCGGAGGGAGTCTTGACAGGATTCCTGTCAGGCTCTCCGTGTGAGACGTGGTCGCGCGCCAGAGCTGCCAATGATTTGGGACCACGAGTGTTGAGATGGCGATCGAGGCCGCAAGGACGCAAAGACTTGACAAAGCGCGAATCTGCGCAGGTGAGCCTAGGAAGCCTTCTTCTCGGAGTCACATTCCGATTGTTCCTTCAAGCCCTACTTTGTGGCGCAACGGCAATCGTTGAACACCCGGCGGAACCTGAGGACGATGTGACGCTCCCATCGATTTGGAGATTGACGGTAGTGCGGTTTTTCCTGCGTTTCTCCAATTGTTGCAAGGTGCGCATCTTGCAAGGGAGATATGGTGGGAGAGCGCCAAAAGCGACCGACCTGTTGCTGGCGAACTGTGGAGAAGATCCAGAGCGATTCTTCTTCCAGGAGCGAACAACGGCGCTCCCCAAAGGGGGTTTCATTGGCAAAACCAGTGAAGGTACATGGAGGACGGCTATTCTTAAAGAATACCCCCCGGACCTATGCAAAGCGTTTGCCAAGCTGTTTGACCAGCAACATGCTTTTGCTGAGGACACAGAGGCCCTCCCGCAATGGTTTGCTGACGCTGTTACCAAATTGACAGCGGATTTCAATGAGCAAGCGGGGATGGGCCCTGACTTTTGTAGAGACGCAGCTGATGTGCAGAATAATTCGGAATTGAATGCAACTTTGTCACAGGCGAACCGCCATTGGCAGTAAGGAAAAAAATGTCTTGTTTTGCTTTGTTTGTTCTCGCGCTGCTCTCCAATTACTTGTCGACACCCCTGTTCCCCTGTTCCAAGGACTCTTGCGGCAAGACAGAAGATTCGGTCGATGCTGTTCAAGAAGAAACAAAAACATCAGCTTGGAGACTTTGAGTCATAGGTTCAACAAACATTTGGGTCTAGAAACACATCAATGTGGCTTCGGTCCGGCACAGAAACACTACGCGGTTCCACAAACCGCAAGCTGAAGGGTAGCAGCCAAGTCTCTTCGCGTTTGTACTCAGAGTCACCCTCGATGCTCCCTGCTGTGAAGGGCTTTGAATCTGGATAAGACTCCTGCCGCAAAGCGCAACATGATAGGCACCACGCCACCAAAAAGAAGGACGCATAAGTGCTTGTATAGGAGCAATGAGGACAACATGGTGTATGTTAACGTACAGCTACCGCTACTACTGTTGGCTGGCCAGGGGCCGCAGCTACTGGGAAACCACAGTCCAAGGGCAACATTCATAAGGCCAAGTACTGTCCGTGGGCACTGACAAGGGGTGTTCCAAGATGTTCCAAGTCCGTGCCAGACTGCTCTGACTGCGAACAAATGTTTGTAAAAAACGAACGGCTAGGTAGGTGTGTATTGATTGGCCTGGGGGCCACCCCCAACCCTGGCCGGATGATGAACTTCAAACATAGCCAAGGTGGGCCTCGTCAGAGTCGTTGTCGTCCGCCACATATCCCAGCGAACGCTGCTCCACGCCCTGCAGTCAAAGGAAAACTCAAGCAATGCACGGGATTCGGAAGGTTCTAGAGTCTCAGCCATACCAATGGTTCAATCAAAAGCTTGTTTTCTTTGTGTCAATAGAACAAGGATTGGGCTGATTGTGAGTTCTGGCAGCGACATGCGTCAAATCAACCCAACCACTACTGCCGCTACACAAACGGAACACATAATTATTCTTGTCCTTTCTTGTCCCATTCTCTTGCAGCTTCGACAATGTGAGCCGCTGTGCTGATCACAAGTCACGGTGCAGCCCAACTCGCGCTCTTTGACTGTGTTGCCAAGGAACCCGATTCACTGTATAAGGCTGTCTGCTCCAGACAGCAGCTGGTTCAAGTCTATTTTCGACGATGGGAACCAGCGGATTTACGGTAGGCCGTGGCCAAGGTCTTTAAAAAGAAATATAAAGAAGTATTGGAGTGGTTGGGGCACAGGCTCCTGGATTGTCCTTTCCAATTGTAGTATTTATAATCGTAATTCGTGACAAGCAACCAACCGTGCCAACTGTGCTTGTAGGAGGACAAGCAAACCCATAATTACGCAGGCAGAAAGCATTTGACTGAGGTTTCTGGGGAGCAAAAAAACTACCATGTTGTGGACAGTTCGGAGGCCTGCATGACACACAATAGGATCGGCCTGTCTGATACTTAACCTGAACTTGAACAAGCTACACGACTGAAAACCACCAGAGATTGCCCAGCCTTGCCTTGTCATGACCGTGGAAGCCGGTGAACAGGGACAAAAAATACTTGGCCAGGTCTTCCAATACGCTTCTCAGATTCACATGTAATCCTGTTGTGATGGTCACGCCGAGTACGGTGATCTTGAAGGACACATAAGCTTCCACCCCCTGACTGCCACCAACCTCACCTCCCACATTGATCCAGTGGACCTTCACCCCTTTCCCCAAGATCTGATTCGCCAGGTTAATGAGAAAATTCACACCGTCTCCCATCAGATCAATGAGAAAGTTGAGTGCCTTGATGAGCCATTGGCACAGTTCACACAAGCCGCCCAGGATTGGGACGGACTTCAGCTTGTCCAGCTGTTTCTTTGCAGCATCTAATCCTTCCTTGATGCCATTGAGAATGTTTTTCGCTGCTTTCGCCATTAGGCTCCGCATTACCTCATTGATGTCTCCTTCCAAGTGCAGGTTTGCTTTCACAGCCCTTGGCACTAGAAGCATGTCCGCTGCCTTTTGGACAGCTGACGCAGCTTGTCCTTTCAATGAATCTCTGGCATGTTCATCTGCTATGGTTTTTGATAGCGCGGAGCCGAGCTTGGACATTGTAAGTCGCACATAGCCTTTGAAGCGGAGCTGCTCAAAGAACTGTACCTCAACATACACCACCAGGCGAGGCTGTTTCTTCTCTCCTTTCAGAAATTCGATGTAGCACTCGAAGTAAGAAGAAAACAAGCCAGCATCAGGAAACAGAGCGATGCTAGCGTCTAGCCTGAAATACAAGTCATTCAAACCACCGACCTTGATGGTTAACTCCATGGGCTTGTTGGGATCGCTTGCTGAACATACTTTCAAGACCTTGAGGTTTCCAACCACGAGCTCAAAGGGCTCAACTGTCGCCAAAAGCTCAGCATACACATCAGTGTCGGAGCTGGCCTTAGGTTTGCAAACCTGCTTTGTGAACTCTTTGGCCTTTGTGGTAGGCTCCGCTGGCAACTCGACGTACGCAAATATTGAGGCCTCTAAGCACAGGAGTTTCCATGTAGCTTGGAACGCATATATCCGTTTGCCACATGCGGGCAGAACCTCCCTCTGCTTCAAGAGGGAACAAATCTTGTCGCGTCTGTCTGCGATATCATCTTTCAAAGCAGTTCCGGGAAGTTCTGTGAGTTCTCCGCTTGTGTTTTTGGCAAGTAGCCCAAGAGTGCGAAGGGGCAATAACCATTTCACCACCCAAGAGAGGGATTTGAGCACATCTTTGTCCAGCTTGAAAAAGCCCCGGAGCAACAGAAGGAAACTGATGTTATCCATGTACAAATACACAACCCCAATGCCACGGAAAGCTTGCAATTCCAAGTCGGCGGGTGCATACATTATGGCAAACTCGAAGGTGCCCTCAGGTTCATCTCTTTTCCCATCGAAAACGAATCGAATTCCCCCTTGCAATGTGAAAGACGTGTCGCGGGTGTCCTCAATGCTTCCATCAACTGAAGCTGCAATGCCGTAGAGCTCAACCCAATCAAGCAAGGGCACCCAGTGTCCCAAGTTGATGCTATTGTTTTCTTTGCCCGTCAATTTCAAAGCCATATTCAAATGATGGTCAGTAACTCTGTACTTGACGGCACACTCAAAAGTGCCCCGACGTACATTGTCCAAATCCAATAGTTCTGCACGCAGCCTGCAAACGACCTCCTCCTGCTTCAGGCACGGACGGTGTTGGCAACTCGGCGAGGCAAGATAAATTGTCTGGGAAGATGACAAAGAGTGTAGTTGCCGTTTTGTAAAGTGCTTTTGGGCAAAATCTAATTCTCCCACGACAGGATTCGGGTAGCTAGATGTTGTGTAAACAACCCTCTGCTGCTGTAAGGCATCATCCAGTGCAATGACAACAGCAATAACTTATTGACAACACCAACCGTAGACACTGATAACACGACAACGAACAAGAAGCAATGAGACATACTACAGACGTGCATTTCTGAGCATTTCAGTACAACTTGCTCAGGACACTCGGATGTCGTTGAAAAGAAAACTCATATACAGTAAAATGTCATTACAGCAAATTATGCTAAATGCGGCAATAATTTGACGCATCGAAGTTGTTTAGCAGCTGTGGGGTCAAACAAAACACCTTACCCGGTCCTTGCCAATCCAGGCATCTCCCTCAGCCGTCATCTTCAAGATCTCGCACTCCCCAAGAGAAAAACGAATAATCGGAGATCCATCGCTGTAGAGGAGTGTTCCATCAATCTTTCGTCCAGCAACTTTCAGTACTTTCCAAAACTCTTTGTCTTCAATGCACACGGTTGCAGACAAGGCAAGCGAAGCGTCGTTCTCCTCAAGAGTTGCAAAAATGTTTCACAGGAAGGTTAAACGAATGTGTTTCACGGGAGGATCAGGAAGTTTAAACCAGAACGTTTCTGAGCGAAACATACTCATCTGCGCAGGCGAGAATCCTTGGCAGCTGCTCCATCCACTCTCTGCATGTCCCAGAGCACGTCTTGAATCTTCTTTTCATTCTTCATGATCAATTGCATCGCTGTATCAAGCCCTTCCTTTTTGGTAGAAACTGGAAAAACATTGCTGTCCTTGCGCCATCCACGGCAGAAGGAAAAAAAATTCAGGGAGATCGTGATGCCAGCCGCTTTCATGATGGTGTCTATGCCTAACCCATCGAAGCACTTGGTCATCGAAAAGTCTTCAGCCGAATCCTGCAGACCACAAATGCGAAACTGTTGAAAGCCAAAACCAATGGCCAATATCGAGGCGCACCTGCTGTGGAATCATCAAAACCAGGGTGGAACCGTCATCTTTCAAGACACAAAGCAGCTGGAGCTTGAACTCGCCTCCAAGCAACTTGAGAAAACACATCGAAACGTGCTGAAAATACCACAAAACTTACAAGCACGTCACGGCCGAGCCTTTCTCGAATTGCGCTTGCAGAGTCATGCAGCGCTTTTGTTGCGGCAGAACCATGGCAGACCTGGTCCAGCCAACAGTTCGACCACCATAGTCGACCAATTAGTGCACATGACCTGCCACTGGGGACCCTGCAGGCTCACATCTCTAAACGTGAATTGGCCAAGAATCTTGCGCAATGCCTGGGCAGTATGTGGTGCGCTGTTAGGATAGTGCACCACTGACAGAAATCAAATCCAACGAACATGGTGTAGCGGCGTAGCTGGTCAAAAGATTGGCAAACAAAGCACAGGTGGTTTCACAGGCCTGCAAAAGCACGTTGTGTTGTGAGTTTTAAAAAATGCGCGCAAACTGTCAGTTACGCAAACACATCTCAGAAGTCGACTGCTTCTACATTACATGGTGTTTCTACTGGTACAGTGGTGGGAAACCACCTGTGATATGTCCATAGCCCAGGTCATATATGCGAAGCACCTTTTGTTAGATTGCTGTTTTACAAAGAATTGTTGCGAAATGGAACCTGCAAACTCTGCACAGAATCCTATATCATGTATGGTCAGTGATTTTACAGAGTACCGTCCTAGGATGTCTATTCTGGTATAACAAAACTTTTGGTAGAGGTGTGAACGGTTTCTGCACTGATCAGAGCCCGACCTAACAGAAGGGCATGCGAAGGTGTTGACATCTGCCATGCTAATATCTCATCTCAAAGTTCCAATTTTGCCCAATCAATTTTCTGCGGTTTGCTGTCGCCGCACGCAGTGTAGGACCCAAAATGTTCAGACGAAATCATGTCTTTAAAAAAGAACAGATTGGAAAAGGTTTCCATTGACTTCGTCACGTAGTCACACACGGACAACGTGAGAAAGAACTAAGAACGAATCCATCCGCTTCTATCTGGTCCGACAACTTCATGGATTGGCGCAGTTCACGACGCTGCTTTGCTTCATGTTATTATTTCATCTTGTTCAAGAGCATCACGCAAAGCTCCCACAGCGCAGTTTGTTGAACTGCCGAATAAGGAGGTCCCACAGCTTGTTGAACTGCCGGAAGCATCCAACAAGTGACGGTGGCAGCTTTTCCCACTGATTCAAAGTAACAACGCTAAGACAACACACGTCGTGCGCGGCTTGCCGCGTCTGGTCTCTAAGCAGGAATAACTGAAAAGAAACCGCGAAACGACATGACGAAGACACGCGGACGAGCGAAGCGATGCACCGATGCATTTTTTCGGAAACGCAAAACCTGGAAGGCACGAGAGCCACGATCTTACCAACCCCACCCCCAAAAGAAGGTGAAACATGGAGACTGGAGGTCTAGGGTTGGGTGTGTTAGGTTGTTCTGTTTTTCATGTTTACGGAAAGCCTGTTATTGTCATCTTTGAGTTTTATGTTCTTTGTGAATTGCCAAAAAAAAGGTTTGCGTTTGGGTTGGAACTCAATGTTTTCAAGATATGTTCAAGAATGCTTGGGTGGTTGTTGGAGGTTTTTGTACTTTCGGTTTTCGATTTTGTCCTTTGGTTCTTTGCCTGCACTTTTTGACATAATTTTCATGGTTCATATCGGCGAACTCTGAGATTGAACATTCAATCAGAGCTTGGAGCAAGAGATGTAGCAATGCAGTGAGATTCCAACTTCCACCCTGCAGTTCTGTTCCCAATTCATGATGAAAGCACCAAACAGTATCATGAGCGACGAGAACGCGCATGCGAGAGTTCAGAAGATGGTCTTGTCGACCAAAAGTGGCTCAAACCCTAGGGCTGACGTCAGCGACCTCAACACTGAAGACCACAGACCTATCGCGTTACCTCCAAATCTCAAATCCGATGTTGCAGCGCAGCACGTGCAAGGACAAAATGCCCTCAGCTTTCAGGCGCGCCAACTGCCGCAATCAGGTCCTCAGGCGCGAAACTTCGGATATCTCCAAACAAAGTTGCTGTAAAGCCGTTGGCAGCTCAACTTTGCCTCAATGAACATCGGGTTCCAACCCCTCCAAGCACAAGGCCTTCCTCGAAACAACCAACCACTAAGGATATCTAGTACAAGCGCATCCACCTGCAAGACCACATTTCCGCGGCCTCGACAACGCCGCTCTACCACCAGCACCGTGCTTCTTCCTGGGAACACTACAGTAACATGGCCATTGGATCTAACTCGGATTTGCTGAGCACGCCGTGCCAAAGGCAGGAGTGGCCCTACCCAAGGGCATCTGTTGCAGACCAGGAGCGCTACACGCCAATTTCCACAAGGGGGTCTGCTCCGGTTTGTGAACTCCTAAATAGGAGCCAGGTGGGTAGTCCTCGACCCACCCCCATTTACCCTGTCAGGGAGCCCCCGTGCCTCTTCCCTGGTGTAGTCACTTTAGATAGCATCTTGCGCGCAATGTCGCCGATGAATGCAAGGAACTTCTACAACTGGGAGCAGACAACTTCACAGTACAAACAAAAAGTAACAAGCTTCAGCGACCTGCAGAAATAACACATTTCCGCAGGCAGTTTCAGTGTATCTGACCTGCGGAAACCTCCCGGACCGAGGCTTCAAAGCACAAGCTCATCGCACAGCCTCAATAATTGCCGGAAAAAAATCATGCATCCACGGAGGCATAAGTGCGCACATCAAGATAACCAGACCCACTTTAGATAAATGTGCGAAACTCTCGCTGCTGTTTAAAATGTTTAATATGTTAAAACTTACCTCTGACATATTATATATATATATGTTGACAATTTTTGGATAAAGCGAGCGTGCTTGACCGGGTAGCAACGGGAGTGCTTTCATGTATGAACTTAAAATGAAATAGATAAAACATTCATCCTGTCCACCTTTAAAAACCAGGCCCCCCCAAAAGAAAAATAAAGGAAACCTCGGTCGCTTTTCATAGGGGGTCCCTGAAATCGGGGGGTCCAAAATAGGGTCACCTGGGAAGAGCTTCAAAACCAAAAAGTCATCCAGGAAAAAGTTATGTAAAATCATTTATTAAACTCGTATCAAAAGTTCAAAGAACCTCCAGATCGAAGGGTCTTCCTTTTCCCCTACAAAAATCTTTATTAGAATACTGATTCTTCATTAGACTAACAACTAAAGCTTTCGAAAGGGGATTGATGTCGTTTGCTTGGGTCCGCGCCATTGGGGGAAGGAAAACCTGCTGGTGTAAACGCGGCGTGTCATGGTGGATACACAGAGCGAACAGAGGTGGGCAGTTACGGTTTTTTTGGAACCTAATAATTAAAACAAACCGCCCAAAATTAAGCAATGTTGGTAGTTTAGTAGCGGTTTGAAAAGGTTGTAATTTAAAAATACCGTATTTAGGGGTTTCCGACGTGACTCTTTTTCCTAGGTGTCCGTTTTTTAGTAGGTACTCGGGATTACCCTTGAAAAGGATCCCCTCAACTATGCATACGCCAGAGTCCCCATAATTATTTCAGAACGAGAATGGACCCACCCCGGTGACATCCCTTCACCTTTTTGTGTTGCTATTTGAGGTTTAAAATCCATGCTGGAGATTCATTCTCCTGAAGGTGGACCTTTCTATCACTACATGACTCCCAACTCCCCTCGCAAGATCGCTGCTCATGCAAGTGCATCGCATGTGCTCATAGCCGGTCCCCCCCAAAGCTGGCGCCAAACCAATCTGGCTGAGGGGGATCTCCGCACAGTGAACTCATCACATCGGCTTTTCGAGAAGCCATCCCCTTTTTGTATAAAGCTTTGCGGGCCTAGAGAGCCCAGCTGAGCTGACACGCCTGACCCTCCGTGCGCGGGTCAGCCAACCCCCTGTGGAGGCTCGCGCGAAAGACATCAGTGGGAATCTACACGAACCCATACCCGTTGGTGCCCCATCGCTCGAGGCAAGGACCACCAGCCCAAATAGCCAGGGTCTTTGCGGAAACACCTCGTTCGCTCGAGTCCATTTATGGAGTTGGCCGGGCCAGAGACTGCTGATGCTCCGAGGTTGGCCTGAGACCCCGAGAAGAGGAAGTTCCGATTCATATCTAAAATCCTGGGCAATCTATCGACAGCGCAGTTGGCTCGCCAGCCAACTGATTAAGATCATGAATTTGAAGACAGTTTTTCCTTAAAGGATGAGAACAGCTTTGTCAAAGGGCTTGTGGTCTCTTCCATTATGGGATGAAACATGGGGAGGCATGACTCAGGTCTTGTCAATTTTATTGTAGGGCAACTGGCTTCATCTCAGTGTGACAGAGGCTGGAGCGACTGCGTGTTTTCGATTGATTGAGTTACCTAAAGCCTTTCAAACTGTTGTTATGTAATTTAACTATTCAAACCACGCTTAACCACAACACCATTTTAGTCGTCGGTAGCAACGGGGATATTAAAGCTGATCTCATTCTCTTGGACAAACCCAAGTCGTTCCTGCGCGAAAAGAACAATATGGGGAGTAAGCTCCTGTCTGCTGTGGCCTCGTACACACAACTACACTCACAATGACAAGCATGTTGAACAAGCTGGGCGCCACACATGGTCCACAGGAAGCAAATCAACAGCACGAAGCACATCCTGTCACTTCCATGGTTTCGCTCCATTCTAAACAAATTGACGTACTGCTCAAAACATGGTCATCAAGCGCGCTTTGGAAAGACTGCAATGAGCCCTGCAAAAACTGCCTGGCGAACCGACCACAAGAATGACCCAATGATAGATTGAATTTCTCTGAACCGGCTTAACTATATATCCGCCGAACCTGGTGCTAACGGAATGGGGAGCACATAAAGAGAAGACGTGGGCCGGCGTCAGCACCCGGCACCAACATCCTGCTTTCAAAAGCCCACGCAGCCAGCTCACAGCACCGGCGCCAGCACTCAGCACCAGCACCGAGCCTGCCGCGGAGCAAGAAGTTTGATAGCTGTCAATAGGGAATTCAAAATACAGGATTCAAAAATGGAGCAGTAGGGGAGCATTTTGGATGCATTTAGCAGAATGGCATGGAACAGTTGCTGTGTTCGTGGTAAGGGCTGGCAAAAAAACAATGTTATATCGGGGTTCAAAATTCAAAAGAAGGTTTGGCTGGTAGGGGTGCTTTTCGAAGCACTTGGGAGCAGAATAGTATCAAGCGTGCATTGTGGATGAGTTGAGCAGAAAAAATTCTGCGGCGACATGGTTCTTGGCAGCAGCTGGGATGGATCCGAGGGCAAAAAACAAGAAGGGTCGGCGTCGCAGCGAATTCCTTAAATCCAACCAGGTGCCTCCGATGGGCTGCCTGTTCCTCCTTCTGCAATGCAAATTTTAGGGACTGACCCTGACGCCCAACAGCGGGCCAGCAGGCCAAGGAACAACAATGTTGGCCTTGTTGTTGTTGTTGTTGTTGTTGTTGCTGTTGTTGTTGTTGGCGTTTGTGAATGGTGAGTCGAAGGAAGCGGTCAAAGACATGGTTGCCGCAGCCCTATGTGCAAGCAAAAAGTCGTATAGTTTTTGTTTGATGCTTCAACAGCGCATGAATGAAATCAACGTCAAACCCGCGCCCAAACCCATGGAACATCAAGGAATGGGTGCGGGATGCCTTGATCAATGCTGGTGATGCGGGCATGGCTGAGCCGGATGCGGTTGAACCCGAACCCGACCAGTGGGAAGAAGAGGGAGGTGAAGAAGAGGGTGAAACGTGTGAAGACCCTCCCCTCCATGACAAAGATGTCAACTAGAGCTGCGTCTCACGATGCCGATGACCAAAGCTCACGCTTGAAGGTCAGGTTTTTTCCAGAGACCACTGCGCTGCTACGAGGTGAGAAAATAACTATGTTGCAGTTTCCGGCTGTTGCGCCCAAAGCGCCGGCCGATCTAGGGATGATCAGGATGGCTGGGACCCATGACAACCGGGAGACAGACTAGGACGCTAAGGTGTGGAAAACGTAAGTTAAGGGAGAAAGCGTTTGTTGCTTGTTGGCAAACAAAATGCCACCCAAACGCCCGACACACAAACAACAACGGACAAAACCTTTTCTACCGAAAGCAAGGCGAAAGAGAGAAGAAGCTTCGCTACCAATTTGTGGGCGAGATTTCCTCCAAAGTGGCAGTCAGTGAGTAAACTGGACCTGATCGAAAACACCAGTGACTGCCTTGAGATTCCCCCAAAGTGGCAGTGGACACTGGACCTGATCGAAAACACCAGCGCATGCCTTGTGCTCCATGGAGACCACTTGGCTTCTGACCTCCCCTCCGCTTTTCGGAGCCTGGTTCGTCAGACCACTTCTGATATAGAGGGCACGCAGTCATGTTGCCATTCAGTGCTGCTCACAACTAAGAGCTATCACTGTATGGCCTATACCTACTTGGCCAAAAACCGACGATAAATTGCAGCCCCCTGGTTGTAAACTGGCGCCCGAATGTAAGGAAAAAGACTTCAAGTATGTTTCAAAATCAATATTGAATGCCGCATGCTGGTGGCAAACTTGCACAGCAGTCCTCTAAACAAAATGCTCCCAAAGTGGCTGTCAGCACACACTCATTGCCATCAGCCCGACTTCGGTAAAGTCCTTTAAACTGGACGTCCACTGAAAGTTTTTCAAGATGCGCAGTCCCACAAACCTGAGAATGACGGGCGGCAAACGAGGGAGATCCTGAACACAAACATTGAGGATTGGGCGCTGAGCTTGTCGAAGCTCACACCATCATAATCATCGATGATTAAACACACCTGAAAGGAACACAATTGTGGTTCAGCTTTTTAGGATGTTCGGATTGGAGCGCCTTACAACCAAAGTGCCTGAGAACCCGGCATCAAAGACGACATCTTCCCCAAGGGCGATATGCTGCGACAACAGGCCCCCCGAACTTTTCAGAGCCTTGTAAACATCGTCCACACATGAGGTTGAGTTTTGCGGCAACAGCTTAAAGATTGTTTGGTCCATGTACTTCTTGGCTTCATCCACAGACACTGGGCGATCAAAGTGAAGGAAAAAGCACTTGCGCTCAAGGCTGTATTCCAAACAAAGTGGGCCCATTGCCAACTTCTTGAAGAACAACTTGGAACGCTCGATGGACAACACTCCTTCCACCAAGAGCTTATCCAAAGGGCTGAGCTTGAGCTTGCTGAGTTGGTCATTCAGCTCCTGGTGTGGGAATCCAAGAAGGACCGCAACGATGGCTCAACTTCTGTAAAAGCTTTCAGTGCAAATGGAGCGCGTTAGAAAGGCATGCAAAAACACCCCAGCTCCACAATACAGTCTCTACCTCGACAAATGATGTCCCCATACTGTTTGTGAAAAGATACGTTTTGACCTGTAGGGGCATCGGAAGAGGTGCTACCTGTGCTGCTGGTGATCTCACAATTTCGCCACCGCTGAAGTGGTAGGTGCCAACCGCTGGTCGGGATGCAAAGCTACACTTGTTCCCCGCTCATTTTGCAAAGTTACCGTGCGTGAAGTGGAATTTGCTCACCGCTGGTGAGATGATCCTGCCCGTGACTGGTATGGTATGGTATACCGTGACTGGTGAAACGGTATGTGATCAATGCTCCTGATCACATGTGCTGTGTTTGAAAAACGAATCGAATGTGAGATCATGCCAATGGCCCAACGGGGAATCGAGCCTGATGCCCTCCTGGTCCACCAAATGGAAGGGATCTGATTGAGTGATTAATAATTCCACCGCGGCTGTCCGACCCTTGTTTTTGCAGGAAAACAAGAGATAGTTTGCTCGGAAACTGCGTGATTTGGAAAGTTGGGCGGGCCCCCATCTCCTTCCCAAAAAACAAAATCAACCCATTTACAATAATCTGAGCAAAGTGAATATATCGATACTATGCGCGAGGTCCCTACAAGAAAGTAGCAGCATGGTGTCGTCCGTTGGTGAGTCGAAACTACTTTGACCACGAGACACGGAATGCGTGACATCACTCTCCTTGACCGGACAAACTGGAAGCAGTTTGCGAGTAAAAGCTGCCAAAGCACACGTAGCCTCCGGCAGCGAGATTGGACCGAATGGAAAATCAATTGCCATACCAGCTTTTAACGAGCTCAGTACTGCAACAGCTGGGCCCAAGTGCAGCTCTGCACCCTCAAAGTCCAGATTGCCAATGTTGAAGTCAATGCTCCATGTCCCACTGATGCCAATAAACGTCAAAACTTCGTGGGGGACCATCCCTTTAAGATTGCGCAGCAACTTCACTGCGTCGTTCAATCCAAAGAGTTGTAGACCTTGTTCGGTTACCAATGTCAAGAAATCGTCCACATTGGTCTTCGGCACTTTGACGCTCACTTTGAGAGTCGGGGTCCTCAACCCTGCAAGATCAATCGTGGCAGGCCCCAATCGTAGCGTGACATCAAACATTGTCTTGCCTTGATTGAAATCAATGGACAAGGTACCACTGACCCAAATGAGCTTCCAAATGGATTGTCCTCGTTGAGCCACCCTCTGCTGAATATTGCGCTGAAAGTCTATCAGCACTCCTTCCACAGCCTTGAAACCAAGCACAGCAAGACCTTGAATGGACCTCAGGAAGTCCTCCATTGTCGTCTCTGGCAACTTGATCGACATGCTTGACTTCAGATTCTTGACCGAGATCACGGCTGGGCCCAAATGTAAGCAGACCTCATAGCTGACTCTGAGGCGTGCGGGATGCACAACAAGCATCCCGCTGATTTCAATAAGCCTCCAAATGTTGTGGCCTTGCTTCCTGGCTACATTGTCCAAATGCGTCAAATGCTCCACTGCAGACTGCAAATCCAGTTCCCTGGCAGAGGCACCCATCGCTTTCAAGACTTCCGCTTTAATCTTTGGGATCTGGAATTCTAAGGTCTGATTGCCTCTCAAGGCCTGAAAGCAGGGATTAAGAGCTCAAACTGTATCCAAACAGAAATCACAAAAAGGAAAACCACGGTGCCGAGATCAACTTCGCCCCTTCCATCGAATTTTTGTTTGAACAAGCATTTGTAGTTAAATGCAGGACCAAAGGCACCCTTTGAACTGGCTCAAATCTGGCAAACAAAACATACAAAATCATTCAGTTGAGGTCTAAACCTGAACATGCGCAGGTTAGCCCTCTCTACTGTCTTGGCATCCACTCTCTGGCACACCCTTGTATACATGGTCTTGTTGCCCGAACAGCTCAGCCATTGTTGTCGAAGCTGCTTGTTGAACACAGCCACGAAGGCTGACAGCTGCTTTGGCGTGTACTGTGATGTAGCCCAAAGGCTTTTGGCGCGGGTCTTTTCCTTCAGGCACCTAAATTTGCGTTTGCCTTATTTCCCGCATGGCAAATGACTCCCCAAGAATTAATAAATAGGAACAACAGAATCGCCTGCATCCAGTGGGCCTGAGAACTGTTGGCGGCAAAATTCCTGGCTAATCAGCTAATCGATTGTCTTCAATTCTAGGTTGCAGATTGGCAAAAAGTTGCCTGCGGCGCCGGTGAAGCCCTTAACGATTCACTTGAGGCCTATTGCAGCTGAGCTGGACTTTAAGATACTTTAAGGTTGCAATTGCAAACTACACAGTGCCTTGCCTGTACACCAGCTTGATGAAAACCATTCCGACCACTACCCCACTGTACCATGTTTTCTTGTGTTGATTGGCGCTACAAGCTGGAGGACAATCAGGGAAATACGACTTGACTACTTGCAATGTGCGCTCGCAGGCCCAAACGGCTGACTGCTGTGGAAGACGATTATGCGTTCACAACAGAGTTTGCGGAGGGCGTCGGGCGTTGGCCTAAACCGTGAAATGACTAGCCCCAACAATCTCCAGAACTATTATTTGCCACCGCGCGCGTGAAGACATTCCAAGACACATTATACAAGTCTCAATCACAGGGCGCCTCTGCAACTTCTTGCAAGCTTTGCTTCTGCTCTCCAACATGGAGGTAAATCTTCTCAGCTTTGGCCCGAATAGGTTGCTTGCTTGCGTTGACAGAAATCTGTCCGCTCATGCAGATTTGAGATATTAGGAAGCTTGCAGCCGTGCTTTTCCGGCATGCACTGGTCAACGTGTTGATGAAATCACTGACAGCTTTGAGCTCCGGTAGCTGATCGCACAGCGACGCCAACAAAGCCAACGCTGCCTCAACACTGGTCTTAGGGATGTCCACGTCAAAGCCCTGGCGAGGAATCAGAAGTAGAACACTTGTTGAAATCGTTTGACTCTTGAAAACGATGGCATCTTCACTCATGTCATGTCAACAAAATCCACGCGATGGACTTCCTGCCACGCAACGAAAAGATCTAGAAGAAACAACGATTTGGGACCTGGTTCTGGAACCCCTCACATCAAATCTCTCTCATACACAAGCCTCGTTGAGTTTCTCTTGCACCTCCGCTATTGCGACTTTGCCGCTTGCAACATGCAGGTAGATCGTGTCAGCATTGGCCCGGATAGGTTGCTTGCTTGCATTGATGGAAAGCTGCCCACTCATGCAGATCTGAGACATTAGGAAACTTGCGGCTGCGTTTTTCCGGCACACGTTGGTCACTCTCCCAGTGAAGCCACTGACCACTTCCAGCTCCGGTAGCTGATTGCACGCTGACGCCAGCAAGGAAAAAAAATCCTCAACACAGGTCTCAGGAATGTCAATGTCGAAGCCCTGCCCAGGGAAACCACGCACAAAAGGTGTTGAAAAAGATTCAACTCCGAAAAAATGTAGTTTGTGTTTTGTCGATACCAAAAATCTAATCAGCATTCCCACGATGGATTTGGTTGGACAAGCACATGAAAATCTCACGCCAGGCCTTCTTCAATTCCTCCTTCACGTCTTTCAACAGCACTGTGCGGCGTGCAACATGCAGGTAGATCGTGTCAGGTTTGGCCCGAATAGGTTGCTTGCTTGCATTGACGGAAAGCTGCCCGCTCATGCAGATCTGAGACATTAGGAAACTTGCAGCTGCGGTTTTATGACACGCACTGGTCACTCTCCCAATGAAGCCACTGATGACCTCCAGCTCTGGTAGCTGATTGCACGCTGACGCCAGCAAAGCCAAAGCTGCCTCAACACCGGTCTTAGGAATGTCCACGTCAAAGCCCTGCCCGGGGAATCACACGCAGAAAAGTTTCAGAAGACTTGGACTTGGCAGATTTTTTTGCTTACTGGGAAGATATAGTTGCATTATTTGTGCAAACAGGGCACTCAAAGAACCTCCATGAAAGCCATAGCCAAAGAGATTGAGAGAATTGTCTTTGCGCCGAGGCCTTTTCATAGTGTTCACAAAAGCGGTGCACAGAACACGGGCTATGAGCCCAACGAAGTAAGGATTTGAAAGTCCGATCGCACACAGCACATGGATGGTCCCCCTGCGTCTACTCCCAATGAAGCTTCCAAATGAATTGACATTGCAATGTGGCCCTTAGAGAAAGGGGTTGACTTACACACACACACATGAACACGCGCTGCGCTGCTAGCCTTCTTCAGCTCTGTCTTCACCTCCGTCATCCTCACCTTGCGATCTCCAACATGAAAGTAGAAATTCTGAGCCTTGGCCTGGACAGGCTGGCTGCCTGCGTGGATGGAAATCTGCCCGCTCATGCGGAGTTGTGACATCAGGAACTGCGAGGCTTTGTGCTTCCTGCAAGCACTGCTCACGGCAAGAATGACATCACGGAGCTCAGGCAACTCTGCTAGGTCAGTGCACGCTGACGCCATCACATCCAAGACTTCCTCAACACTGGTCTCAGGAATGTACACATCGAAGCCCTGCAACAGGTGAAGAACAAAGATCAGCTTTCTTTCAGAAGACAACGGCATATTCAATGGCGTCGAATGTCTCTCATGTTCAAAGATTTTGGAAGTCCCTGCAAGACAAACAATTCAGATCCAGCCAGAGTCTTTCAGAGTTGGGCCCTGCCCTACTGCTAGAATATGTGATATATGTGGTTATGTGGGCAGCCTGTCCACCACAGAGCCTCAAAAAGAACACATTAACAAGAACATTGCAAATCTCCTGCCTTCTCCAGCTCTGTCTTCACCTCCGTCATCCTCACCTTGTGATCTCCAACATGAAAGTAGAAATTCTGAGCCTTGGCCTGGACAGGCTGGCTGCCTGCGTGGATGGAAATCTGCCCGCTCATGCGGAGTTGAGACATCAGGAACTGCGAGGCTTTGTGTTTTCTGCAAGCACTGCTCACGGCAAGAATGACATCACGGAGCTCAGGCAACTCTGCTAGGTCAGTGCACGCTGACGTCATCACATCCAAGACTTCCTCAACACTGGTCTCAGGAATGTACACATCGAAGCCCTGCAACAGGTGAAGAACAAAGATCAGCTCTCTTTCAGAAGACAACGGCATATTCAATGGCATCGAATTTATCTCATGTTGAAAGATTTTGGAAGTCCCTGCAAAACAAACAACTTAGATCCAGCCAGAGTCTTTCAAAGTTGGGCCCTGCTCTACTGCAAGAATATATATATATATGATATGTGTGGTTATGTGGGCAGCCTGTCCACCACAGAGCCTCAAAAAGAACACATTAACAGGAACATTGCAAATCTCCCTGCCTTCTCCAGCTCTGTCTTCACCTCCGTCATCCTCACCTTGTGATCTCCAACATGAAAGTAGAAATTCTGAGCCTTGGCCTGGACAGGCTGGCTGCCTGCGTGGATGGAAATCTGCCCGCTCATGCGGAGTTGAGACATCAGGAAACGTGAGGCTTTGTGCTTCCTGCAAGCACTGCTCACGGCAAGAATGACATCACGGAGCTCAGGCAACTCTGCTAGGTCAGTGCACGCAGACGCCATCACATCCAAGACTTCCTCAACACTGGTCTCAGGGATGTACACATCGAAGCCCTGCAACAGGGTAAGTGAAGAACAAAGATC